AAAAAAAAAAAAAAAATTTTAATATAATAATAAATTGATGAGATTGGTTTACAGGATGATTTACGTAGACCGTGCATTAGAAGTTTTCCAAGTTACAGTTGTTTTAGAAACTTCAAATTTTGTTTCTGGTCACGAGTCGTGCCGAAACTGCATTCGCGAATTCAAAAGTCCAAACGCTCCCTGGTGGCTTAAATTATAATTACCAGTTAACTAGTAATTTGACACTTGTTTTGTTAACATTGTGTTTACATCTAATTGTGATTTGTTTTGATCTAATTAGCTTTTGCAAGCTTTTAATTTGTTTTCATTCACATTAATTTGTGTTACAAGTGCAACTTTCACTTTTCGCTTGTTTACCACATAGATAAAGACCAACTCCAATAGATAGACAAGTCTCTACTGTCACTCGACAACGAGTAATTTGACGTTCGCAGCGCCCCCATCGGTAATTGAACTCGCGAATATTAGGGGCCCAACAATTTTGTTTGTTTGGTTTGTTTTCTATTTCTGGAGTGAGCGAGTTGGCACTTCTGCATATTTCTCACCTTTAATATAACATTTGAAGTAGCTAAACAGGGTGAACGAAAACTAGAATCTAACTTGATTTTTTTTAAATGGAAACTCCTAATTTTTTAAGCATGATTGGCGTTCCAAATGCGAGTTTGAGCCACCAATAGTTTAGTGACTGATAAAATGGCATAACGGATGTTTACGGTACAAGCTATAGCGAACGTCTATTTACTAAACGGGACCCCGTGGGCCGTGTGGTAGTAATATTTGACGTCATTTCTGTCAAGCATTTACCCATGTCTCCTATATGAATGAAACATTATTGTATCTGATTGAATTTGTTCACTCTTTTGGGGGAATAATTTCAACACTATAGGGACGGAGTATGGTTACTTCATATTGGCCGAAAATGTTTTTTGATCAAAATTCTCTTCCCATTATAAGTTTCTTTGTATATAAGGCGATTTTTAAATACACCACAATTTACAGAATCTAAAGTTATTGCAACACAAACTACCTGTTGGTGTACGCATTGCTAGGCCTTAACTTATTTAAAAAGGTTTAGTAACGTTTATTAGGATTAGAACAGTTAATTTGTTTTGGAGCGAAGTTTTACCCACATATTTTTTATTAAAATGATGGTTTTAATTTAAATAGGAAAATAAGACGATAATAAAGTTAAAACTAATTTTATTTACTAAATATCACTAAATTCCAAACACTTTATAAAAAATGTAATTACTCAACAACACAACATCATATTGAAACGTATTATTCAAATTAAAGATGAAATTATTCACACACATTATTATAAAATAATGTCTGACCACGAAAGATGAACATCAATTGACAAGCAGGCCATTTTCCCAATATATTAAAAAACGTTTTTGACGGACTCATTGACACAACATTCAAATAAGATTTCTTTTATATCGACTCATTTTTGTCACTTTTTTGTCGTCTTGCGTGAATCAGATAAGTGTCATTTGTTGAGAAAATTAGAATTTCTCGACATTCACCAGTTGAAATTTTAAGTGATATAAATCACTTAACAATAATATTTCTTCAAAAGATGGCTTGCAAATTTAAATTTTTTTGATAACGCGTTTTTTTCTTTGTAGAATGAAATCATATTTGCTTTGACATGTATTAGAAATAGTATAATTTTTATTGATTTGTAAATTGCTGCTATTTACTTTTTTCTCAGTCCGATTAGCTAATTCAATAGATTTAATTAACAAAATTTATTTTTTTATTCTTCGGACGACGTGGCTGGGGGAGAATATAATTATTTTGACATTAAGAAATAGTCGAATTTAACTTATGTAACTCACAAGCTAACGTTTTTATCGCCGACGACATAGTCGTAATCAGCAAAACACTCAATGAAGTAAAAGTAATGACAGCAACGAAAGCCTTATCTAAGCCTCGCAAGAGGTAGTACTAGAAATGAACACTGCAAAAACCAAGTGTATGAGTCTAAGCGCGGTAAACCTACTTACCTTCGAAAGCCAACAAATAGAAGAAGTAGGCGAATACGTTTATCTGGAGCATCAGATCAGGCTTGGGAAAGAAAACCAAAATGCTGAAATTACTAGAAGAATGAGCATAAGCTGGCCAGAATTTGGAAAGCTACGTTTTATCCTTTTCATATAAGCATGAAAAGAAAAGTGCATGACGTGCATTCTCCTTGTACTGACGTATGGCCTGGAAGCCATGACGCTAACGATAAATGGTGCAATTATTTGAGAGTCACTCAGAGGGTCATAGAACGCGCATGGAACGCGCAATGCTAGACATTAGTATGAGAGACAAGATAAATACCCATAGAAAATAAATATGTCGACGCACGTGATTCAGTGCATGGCAGAAGCAAAGTAGAGATGGGCAGGTGACGTGGCGAGTCAACCAAGAACACACAAACGTGGCAAAGGGAGACCCCGGAAAAGGTGGAATGGATGATATTTATCGGAAAGCTGGGAGAGGATGGTAGCACATTGCACTAGACCGTTAAAGATGTAAATTGGAAGAGTAGGTTCAGGAGTGGATACGTCTAGGCTGTTGATGACTTATATACTGATCTCGTAGAAAAATGTAGATTTCGACTAGAATAGGTCGATGGCATCAGCAGCGACCCAAAAAAATTAGAAATAATGCTGCATGAGCTCGAAGAAGCCTCCTAGGCTATGGGCCTGAAAATTAGCAGTGTGGTATTCACCATGGGCAACCATACTCCGACGAAAGTCAATGAGTATGTATATCTTGGAGACAACATCAAACTGGGAGAAGACAACCAGGCAGCAGAAATCACCATACGTGTCGGCTTAACCTGGCCGGCATTCGTCAGGCACAGTTCTATTCTCTGAGACCCAGGGATTTCCATAAACCTCAAGAGGAAGATATATGATTCTTACATCTTGCCGTCGCTACGTATGGGCTCGAAACTGTGACTGTACCGATACACAGTGCAAACCGACTCCAGGTTTGCCAGCGAGCGATAGAGCGGGCGATGCTGGGGTCAGACTGGGGGATTAAATTCCAAATGAGGAAATTAGGGAGAGAATAGGGATCGCAAATGTGGTAGAACAAGTGGTGCGTATTAAGTGGCAATGGACGAGTCACGGAGCGAGAGACAATATCAAATGGACTAGAACCTTATTACAATGGAGTCCACCAGGATCCAAGAGAAGTGTTGGCAGACGTCAAGCAAGATAGCGAGATGACTTCGGCGCCATGCGGGGAGGAGCTGGATGCAGACGGATTCCAGCGGAGGTCTGTGTGGTGGAAATTGATGGAAGAGGTCTATGCTCAGGAGTGGACGTTAACAGGCTAAGAAGGTCGAGGAATCAGCTACATTTGTACCTGCTGCTATGATTGATGATGCAAGTATAAGCACTCCTGATTTAAATTATGTATTTATATTGTTTCTCAAAAAATGGGCAAATTAATAAATATTCATTATAAACACAATTATAAACATGCCAAAGTTCTGCAATATAAATTTAACTTATAGTTAAACAACTACTGAAATCTGTAACATCTAAAATCTTAGAAAAGTACTAAGTCTAGGATCTGTAATATTTCAGTAGTAAATACACTAACACAGTTTTGTGTAGCTTCGATTCATCTTGGTGACATAAAAGAACGGACCATCAATATCTGGGGGTGGAACATCTAAAATACAAAAATTATAATTTTCAAATAAGTTTTTCGGTTGTCTGACATCATTGAATTTTGCAATAAATTTCTACCACTGATGCACTCCAGGTACAGGGTGTTTCCTCATAAGTTGACACTCCCCCTAGATCGTTTATTTAAAAAAAAATGTGAAAGTGACCAACACAAAAGTTGTTTAAACTTACTCAAATTTTATAAATATGAATTTGAAATAAAAATATAAAGCACGGAAATGTAAAAATTTTACATAAATTATTTTTTTGTATGAAACACCTTATATATTTTTAGAGATTCCAATAGTTTTTTTCCTGATTTCAAAATATATATTTTGCCTATATTTGTATTAGCCGTTTTTCCTATATTACGATTTAAAAATTATCAATAGCAACAAATCAAACTAGCCTTGAAATTCGACAAGGCGCTTCATCCACCCCATAACGTTCGCCCGGTAGCAATTTTTTAAAATGAAAATGATATCTTGATTGGACGAGCGGGTCCGATCCAATGGCCTCTAATAAGTCCAGACATAACGCCTCTTGATTATTTTCTCTGGGGTTATCTAAAGAATATTGTGTATGAGACACCAGTTAGACGGCTTAAAATAGTGATTGCAATTAACGATATTATTAATATTAACCATAACCAATATATTCAAAACGTTATAGATAACATTGAAGTTTTGAAGCCATAGAGCTCTAATTCTGTTATGTTTCCTTCCTATGGTTTTTTGTTTCATTTCAGACTACTTTAATTTGTTGCTATTTATAATTTTTAAAACGTAATATAGGAAAAAAAGGTGCGTCTAAAAATATACAGGGTGTCCAAGATAAATACGTATTGCATGGGGATCTCCGAAACAGTAAGAGATACGAAGAAGGAAAGTAAGACTCTATAAGGAAAACTAGGTAGAGTGGCAGTGAATGTACGGCACACAACTTGTACAGTAACCTTTCCATTAGGCCTGGATAACCCAGTGAATTTTCAGGTGTCCACATAGCGACACGGATACGGCTTGCCGTATTAATACAGCGACACAATGCGACACACTTTTTAAATGTTGGAAAATAAAAACAGAAGATGCTGTTTCGTGATGTCTAGTGGTTTGTAAGTTCGCTAGCGGTGTTTATAAGCGGGGCGGAGTGTTTAATGTTTTTTCTTTGGTTTTACTGGAATGAAGTGGCAACATGTTTTCTTCTTCTAAAGCCTATTTGTCTCACAAGTGTCTGTGATTGGTTTCGAAGCTGCTGGGCCAGCCATAAATTATGACCGACTTTTGCTCCTTTATGTATGCAAGGTCTGACAAGTTAGTTTTTTGGCCTCATTCGCCCACTGACTTTTCATGTAATCCGGTAGTAATCAATAGGCAGGCATTTACCTTTTTGCTTTGTTGAAATATCGAAATCCCAAATGTTGTACTGGTACCTGCGACCAGTATCCAGTACGAGCCATATCGAACCGAGATAAATAAGAATTCATCAGTAATCAGCAGCCAAGTACTTTGAGCACTTTCGCTCTTGCGGCTTAATAACGTAAAATAATCCCTGTTGAGAGGGTAACTGCGCTTGGCCTTCACAAACTGTAATTCGAAGTCTTGAATGATATTAAATTTTAAGTGTTGTTCAAAGTGCCGCGTCGTAAGAGGCCAGGTGTCGCGCCACACAGACACCCAGAGCGGCATCAACACGCAAGTGTTCTAAGACACAGTATTACCCATGCCTACTTTCCATATAAAAAAAGAGCATTACCGTATTTTGAAGCTTATTAAATGCTGCATAGGCATCCGTTACGTACGGCGGGATCAGTTGGATTTTTTTGCCAGGCTTTAAGATAGAAACTATTACAGTGTTTTTCCAGTCCTGTGGCAAATGCTGCAATTTAAGGACTGCGTTGACTATTTGTACTATTAGCACAATAGTTTTCAAAAAACGTTTTTAAAGCGCAAATACGAGATGCCCCCTGGCCCTGTGGCTTTTCGGCTACGGAGGCGGCGAAGATACGAGTCCCATGGGGTTGTTATATAGGATTGCAAAATCCAGGGTGATATAGGATACTTCCGTTCTACAAAAACAGCGGTCTGTCTTTCTATTTCGTTATCCTGAAGGGCTGGTTGGACTTTATGTACTTCTGCCAAAAAGTCGGCGAGCAGCTCAAATTTGTCACTGGTGGTAATGAAACTCTGTCTCTCTTTTTCAAGAGCGGAGACTTGCTCGTAACATTTTCGGAGGCTTCTTGACAGTTTCCACAAATAGTTGTCACGGTGGGCCAGATTGCGTAGCTTTTCCGCCCAGGTAAAAATCTTATATGCAGAAATTTTACGCTGGATGTGTAGTGCAAGCTCTGCTGGTCTTATACGATCAGCATATTGCCTGAATCGCTGCCAACGTGAGTAAAGTATCGACTAAGACGCGCCGGTCCACCCTGTACATATACGATTTAATACTATTTTCATTATTGATAAATGGAATGTAAAAACATAAAATTTGGGAATGTCTGATATTTTGTACTTACGAGAGATAATTTCTGGTGGGTATATTGGTTGAGGAGATAGATGGTAAATAGTTGTTTCACGACCGGATTCCATAGTTAATGTCCATTGAGATGGAAGCATGCTGAAACGTAATTTTGTTTTTAAATTATTTTGCAATGAATGAAAATTCGAGGATCTGAAAACTGTAAATTATGATACCACTAACTTTGACTACTTTGGGTTTCAAGTAACAGCTTTTATACCAGACAAGGTATATTGAGTACAGAGGAAAAATACTTTATTATAAATATATTATATAATTATCACTTACCTGTCAATAAACGATGCATAATTGATGTCTAAATTGAAGTGTACGGCGTGCAAGGGAGTGCTAATTATTTCCTTGAAATCGGTAATTTTACTTTTATCGAAAATATACTCCTGTTCAATTGACTTGCAGAAGGGTTTGTAACCATCTTCGCTCATATTCACCTAATAATTCCATATTTTAAGGATTATTGAGCAAAACAAGTGGAAAATACTCTACCTGATCTTTTACTAAATAGAATAATTCAGAGGCGACATACAACTGACACAAATATGCCAGTTGTTCTTGCATTTTCACAATTGTTTTGTTGAAAGTTGTAGATCTGAGCGGTGGAGTAGTGGAAATTGACCTAGAAACACAGTCATTAAAGTGATTGTCCGATGTGATTTAGACGTTCTGAAAATATACTTTGATTCAGATTACTCACTTCCAAATAGAATCCATATGAGTTTTATCGAAACCGGGGAATTGGGAAATAATAGTTTGAAAATCTAGTTTCAGTTTCCGAGCACCCAATTCGAAAAGAAACTCCAGACTTTGTTTTACAGAGTTTTTTGGCATTACCCGGTGGCCTTCTAATATTCGTTTTATCAAAATGCCAATGTTATCAGACACATCCACCTAGAATACATTTAGGTTTTACCAATATATCGAAAATTATTCGATCCGTTACTCATTTTCATTTGAAGCAACTATATTCAATACATTTTATTACTTAGGTATTCTTTATTATTTAGGTAAATGCGTTTTTATTATTTAAGTAATTAAAATGTCGTGACGATAATCCATTAACACGGTTACATGCTTTTGCAGACAATTTATATAATTCAAGTTATATTTCGTCATCAGATCCCTAAATGATAAATGGAATAAATACGGGTTGGCAACCAAAATACTTAACACGCACATAAACAACGGCTTTAAAAAAGATGATTAACTGATACCAAAAATCACCTATTACTCGATTTAAAAACAATTTAAAAAATATTTGAAACCCATCGTCGTAGAAAAATTAGTTGAACTAGTTGCCTATGAAAAACTATTAAACTATTGTACAGGACATAAAATAATAAACAAACATCAATCAGGGTTTAGAAAATTTCATTCATATGACTGTTATACAGTTGTTGCGATACACCTGGAAGCATGTAAAGGATGGTGGTGGGACCTAGGCCTGGGTAACACTGTGTTGAGTTGCGCTATTGAGTTGTTGCCGCTCTATGAGTTAACGAGTAATAACTCATCGGTTAATGGAGTTATAAGTCATTTATTAAAGCTTTACGAGACCCTGAGACTGGAAATTTCACATCTTAAAAAAAGGACATCAACATTTTTTTTAATAACGTTTAACTACTTTGTACAAAAAACTTAAAAAAGTCATCTAGAGTTTCCCAGCGACAGAACTGAGTCCAAAGAAAGTCGACGAGTTTTCTTGTAAAATCGATTTTTTTGTTTGCCAGTATTTCACAGTAAAACGTTAGAAACGCGGTTTTTCTGTTTAGAGACTGTTGTTTAGAAATATTGACAAAAAATTGAAGAAACCCGAGTTTCCAAGAGTTTCCCAAATAAATGATTATAAACGTTCGCTTTTTCAATTCGGGGAAATATTTTTGGAAAGACCCAGAAATACCTGAAAATTATCAGTATTTTAAGTAAAACTAAAAAATAATACGATTTTTGCGTAGAAAAAATAGCTTAACAGTAACTTTGTTAACACTGGAATGACCTGAAAATTTTAAGGAACTTTAAAAATGCAAAGCAATGAAAGCAAATTTTCAAATAATTTTTTGTAAACTTTTGCTCTGATCGTTTTAAAGAAAATCCCAATTACTTTCGATAAAAAATGGAATACATTCATTCGGTTTTTGTGCCAAATTCGAAGCTGAAATGGATTTTCTAAAGTTCTCTGCAAACAGATGAATTTTCTAGCAAAATTAATTTTGTGATTTTTGGTTGAAAAGGCCCCATTATTGTCAGAAAAGAAGAAAATCATCAGAAAATAATGGTTTTTTGAGTTTTCGATTAAAAACTTTTAGGTTTATGATCGGTTTTGGAGAAAACCTTAGTGGTTTTCGGGGAAAATGGGAGAAATTTATTTTCCTTTTTGTCCCGAATTCGACGCTGAAAAACGTTTTTGTAAAACTTTTACAAAGCTATAAATGTATCTTGTATTTTTTTGCATAAAAGACCTCCAGATCGTCAGTATGTTTAAGTGAAACTCTACAATATAGAGCGTTTTTGAGTGGAAAGTAACGCAAAAAAAAACAGTTAAAACTAAAAAACCAACATTTTCTTAACAAACTCTACAGTCTTCAGAGATATAGAGTTGCCGAGATTCCCAAATAATCTGTTATACACTTTCACTTATTGTGTTCGTTTTTTGATAGAAAATTATTTGAGTTTTGTTACAAATTCAAAGCTGGAAAGAGATTTCAAAACTTTTTACAAAGCAACGAAAAATCCGCATCTTATTTTAAAATTTTTCACGTAAAATACGTTAAGATTGTCAGCATTTTTCAGTGAAACTTTTAAAATTGAACATTTAAAAGAAAGAGTAACTAACTAAAGCAGGAAAATTCCATATTTTTTTTAACAAACTCCACAATCTTCAATATAATTGTTCTAAATTCGACCGCTGAAAAGGGATTTCAAAACTTTTTAGAAGGATTCCAAATTTATTTCATATTTTTTCGCGGAAAATAACTTACGACTGTAAACATTTTTAAGTGAAACGTTTGAAAATTGAGCATTTAGATGAAAGAGTAACTTGGCTAAAACTGGAAAATTCTGAAATTTTGAAGAAACTTAAAAAATATGATTAATAAATGACCCTTAAAATAAATATAAAAACAAGTAAAAAAAGTCATGAACATTTTCGCAGCAACGGAACTGAGTTACTGCGTCGGAGCGTTGAATTGGCGCACCAAGCCATTTGCGTGCACTCACTGCATTACCCAGGCCTAGTGGGACCACTGGGATTGTATTTCTTGACCTAGAGAGCATTTGCAACTGTATGTAGGAAAAAGCTCTTGGAAAAATTGAAAAAAAAATGGGAATTGATAGAATAGTTTTGTATTTTGTCAAACCTTACTTATCTCAGAGATATATATATAAAATGTAATAATATATGTTCAAATAAAGGAAAAAAATTCTCATGGCGTTCCTCGGGGAACTGTTTTTGGGTCATTACTTTTTGTGTTTTGTATATTAATGATATAACATCAAGCTTAGATCTTTGTCAAATACACCAGTTCGCTCATAATAGTCATATTTTTTAGCTTTGAAGTCCATTAAATGCTTTTTAACACTCTCAATGATGAATTAAAGTCTGTATATGCTTGGTGTTGGTGGAAGTTGGTGAAAATGAATTAGGACTAAACCTAACAAAGTCGAAATGTATGATCATTGGTAAAACAAAAACAGATAGAGAAAGTTTTATTAATAATTATCGAATTCAGATGACCAACGAAAATATTGAATACGTAGACAAAATGAGATATCTCGGTTTTATCTTAAACGACCAGTTAAATCTAAATGATTATTTTGAATAGATAATTGGTAAAATATGTAAAGTTTGCTTTTTTGTCTAGGTTGAGGTAAGTATCAGTTGGCTTCAAACGCAAATAAGTTGAGTTTTAATAGCATAATTAAACCACATTTTGACTATTGTGGATCATCGCTTTATCTTGGATACAAAACTGACATCGATAAGCTGCAAGTGCTTCAGAATAGATATAAACCCATAAAAAATATGCTGAAATCTCTCAATTGGCTTGACATTGAACATAGTTTCCAGTACCAGCTTTGTCTTTTTATTTATAAGACAGAGCGTGGTTTTCAACCTTTATATTTGCATGACTTTGTAACAATAAATGGTGAAGTTCATAATTATCATACCAGGCATCATCACAATTTTCATATAAATATGATTATAAAGAACTTCACCCCATTTGGGTTGTTTGATAAGGGCCTATCATTGCACGAGGGTTGTTTAATAAGTCAGTGACTTTTTTAAATTCTTGCGCAGTAACTTTAAATTTAACACTACTCCCGTCAACTGTCGTCTGTTAGTAGAATGCAGTGACATTTTGAGCCATTTAGTTCGTGTTTAACAGTCATTGAAATGAGATGACTTTGTCAATTTGGACGAATTCGATGTTGACTTGAAGCTAAAACGGCCGCATTTGGCCAACAAAAGTGCTGTTTCATCAGGACAATGCACGGGTGCACACGTGTGTAGTTGCCATGGCAAAAATTCATGAATTAGGCTACGAACTGTTACCCCATCCAACATATTCTCCACATTTAGCCACCACCATATATATATATATATATAGTATTTGGTATATCACATCCTGCTTTTTCCGGGGTATGCTCTTGGACCAAAACCAAACTTTCGAGAAACAAAACTTTCGAGACCACCATAGACGACCTAATTTTAGTTCAGTTATTGTAGTTTGTTTTTTCTTGTGATTTCCTTTCCTTGTGATTCTTGTGTGACCTGCTAGATACTACCAGCAATAAGTACCTGGCATCCGTCTACGTGATAGATACCAGTCCCGTCCAAAATTCAGGGAGAAGGTCGTGATACCATTCCGGCAGAGAATCTCCGGAAATACCATCCGCTCGCAACTCGAGCGAATGGAGAGAGAATCTAATATCTGGAGAGTGATGCTCCTATGTAGACACGTTGTCATAAAAATATTCTGTATAATTTCACAATTTAATTTCTATTTAACGGATATTAGAATCTTCGAATGTAAGGGTAAGTGTAATTACTGTTTTTCTGTTTTACTATATTGCACTATCCTCATTTTAAAACTTTAAGACTTTTGTTAATTAATGATCCAAATCACACTAACATCAATCTAAAAGGGTGTTTTACAATCGGCAATTTTCTTGCAGCTATAATTTTAGTACGGTGCAACGTTAAACCTCACATTTAGACAAATCGTTTGTTTGTTTGTTTATTTCGTTTGAGGTTACAAGCATATTGTCAAGGGAATTATTGAGATTAACATAAGTTCCAGTTTATTTCGATAAAAAACAAAAATATGCAAATATGCAAGGCTGGTGTTTTATATTACTATGAGTGAACAGTTGGTAGCGTAAAAAGAACCAGAAAATTCACTAAAATTGCGACTAGCTGCCAGAAATTTTTGCAATTCGAGAGCCGGCAACTCGAGAAGCAATAAAATGTGCAAGCGTAGAACGAAATATTGCGTGCAAAAAAGTTGCGGGCAATAAAATTGCCGACTATAAAACGCCCTTTAGTGATAATGTTTGACATAAGTACATAGCATGCTTGAATAGCTACAGATTTAGAACCTACTTACCAGACAGATGTTCGATCTTATTTCGAGTAATTCTGAGAACAAAAAACTAAAACTGTAGTTCAACTCTGATACATTTTCACAGCCTAGAACAATAAAAATCATAATGCTGCTGCTATATAAAAGATGTTGAAGCAAGTCGATTTTCCAAGATGAACAGACTTATCGATTCTGACAAGGGATGTGCTGGAATAGACAGAAAACCATGCGTTTGTTCCAACTAGTTTGCGATTTTTCTACAATACACACTTGCAACAAAGTCAACGAAATTATTTGTAATATTTTGTAAATAAGCAAATAATTAAAAAAAAACTATTAGCTTTTCCAGCAAAAAGCTTTAACTTTGCATTTTTTCGGCTTATGTCTTCTTATTTCTTTCTAATATGGATACATATTATTAGGCTATTGCCTATTCATTGCGAACACGTCCTCTCCGGAAGATAAGGTCTAGCGTTATCTCCAGCGCGCGTTTTGCTGGTCTTCGCTGTGGTTTCCTTCCCACTGAATTGTTCATTTTTGCGTTTTTGACGAGTCTGTGTTGTCCTGGATTCTTTCTACATGTTTGTTCCATACTCTTCTTAGCCGTCTCACCGATCTTCCTATGTCCTGTCGCCCGCATTGCATTCTGATGTCCTCACGTAGTACTCTATCGTATAGAGTTTTGCCTTGTATGCTCCTTCAACTTAAGGTCTTCATTTCAACTGTTTTCATCATTTGTAGAGTTCTGCTTGGAATTTGGTCTTGTTTCTGCTGCGGAAGTTATTAGTGAAGGTGTTACTGCCGCTTTATATATCTTGACTTTGCTTTATTGACCGTATTTAGCTATTTGTTTTTCCAAACAATTTCTCATTCGCATTCGAGCGGTTTTCATTGTTTGCTCTCTTACTTCGAGAGGTAGACCTCCATGGCTCGTTATCTCTGCTCCCAAATATCTGAAATGGCTTATAGCCACAGAACACCGCCTGTAGCCTAACAACTACGACTGTTGGCCCCAAGACCGGATAGTGTGGAGGGTTCACAGGTCAGGTTAGCAGCCAACCTATGTTAAAAAAACCCAATACAGCTCACTGATTATTTGATGGTATTAACCGAACTAAAGGTAAAGTTTCGGTGGTGCGATTGAGACTCGCGGCTTAATTACCCCTTTAACGTACTTTGCACATGAACGGTTTCGGTCGTACGTTCCGACTAGAGGTGCAGCTAATGCAGTTCAACTGGTAAATTTGAAGTTTTGGATCAGCCCACCATATGTGCCGATATAATTCCTATGTTGTCTGGACCATGGCTCAAGGAGATTAAAGATTATTTGATAGAAATATCCGATTCTTCCCAATATGGCCCAATTGAATTATTATTGGGAGCAGACGTGGCAGGTGTTTTTTTACACAGGAATTTGACAGGCGTTGCCCTGTGGATTAATCGCTTTCGAAACTCATTTTGGATGGACATTAATGGGAAAGGTACCAGATTATCAATCACGCTCTGATACAGTGGTAACTACATTGAATCTGCTTGTCAAGGATGCTCAAATCTGTAATTTATGGGAACTAGACGTTCTGGGTATCCAAGATCCTATCGAGAAACAGAACAGGAAAGAAACTGAAATGGCAGCCAACGATTTTTTTCGGCAAACCATAATTACGGATCAAGAAGGGCGTTATGAAGTTCGACTTCTTTGGTTGAAGAACCACCCTGCACTTCCAAGTTACTACAATATGGCTATGAAACGATTAAATACTACCGTACATCGCTTAAAAGACAGTGATCAATTTGTAAAATACAATAAAGTGTTTGAAGAATGGATGGATGAGAAGATTATTGAAAAAATTGAATCCCTGGAATCTGATGACTTAAATCAAGGACATTATTTACCTCATCGGCCTGCAATTAAGGAAAATGGTACAACAAAAATACGACCTGTGTTCGATGCTTCAGCGCACGAAAAGGGGAAACCATCTCTGAACCATTGTCTGGAAAAAGGCCCTAACTTG